TGTGAAGAAAGTCAGTAGTAGCTTCATGGGGATAGCATTGAATCTATAAATTACTTTGGGCAGTATAGCCATTTTCATGATATTGATTCTTCCTATCCATGAGTGTGGAATATTTTTCCATTTGTTTGTGTCCTCTCTTATTTCCTTGAGCAGTGGATTGTAGTTCTCCTTGAAGAGGTCCTTTTTAGATGAATGTGTGTTGTAGAATTTATTGCATGACACTTGTTTATAACCAAATGTCCTGTTTCTTCATGCAGTATGTTAATATGCCACGTTACATAGTCATTAAACAAGGTTTTGACATTTTGTATCATATAATACTTCATGACAGCATTTCCCAGTATGTGTTCCATAGAGCACCAGGTCTTCTAGATGTGCCATAATGTAGAGATCCAATAATTTTGACAAATACTGTGCTTTGAATTGAACAAACAATACTTTCATATCAAAATTTGAGAAATCCTGCAGTAAAGCAACCTTTTTAATGTATTGTTTCCAACATTATTTGATTAGGAGACCCTTTTGCTCAGTAATGTCTTTTAGGTTCCAGGAGAAAACACTTCCTATTTTAGTGCCACTAAAACCAGAATTCTTTTTTTTTTTTTTTTTTTTTTTTTTGAGACAGAGTCTCCCTCTCTTGCCCAGGCTGGAGTGTAGTGGTGCGATCTTGACTCACTACATGCTAAAACCGGAATTCTTTATGAGCAGCTATATAGTAGACATATAATAGAATTTGTCCTGTCTTCTGAATACTGTAGAGCCCCAGGGCTCTGCTATTGAAGGGGAAAATCTGCAGTATATTCTCTTTGCTAGAGGTAAACTTGATTCTGAACTGAAGACTGGTGGCCTAGATGGTTTGAAGGCTTGTTATCCTAAAATGTGTATTTCTTATGTATTCATTATTTTCCAGACCAATGAAAGGGCAAACCTGGTTTGATCATGTGGACATGTCAACATGATTAAAATATTATTTGGCAAGAAATGAAGGGTTTTGGGGAGAATTTTAGAACTTACAGAATTTTGCAACTACTTAGGCTCCATTATTTCCAATTCTGGAAAATTTTTAAGTTCTTAAATTGCTTTACTGAGACAATTCTATATAGTGGTACAATTGCTATATATTACATTTCAGAAAGGAAATTTAGGACTGAAAATATTTTACTTGTGGAATTAATTTTATCCTCTTTTGATAAGTGATTATTTAAGAAATGCTGTGGGAAGATTTTTACTGTGATACAGTATTGTTAAAAATGAACATAGCACAGAGATGTTGGATGCCACAGTTCCTTTAAGGATAGAAGGGTCAGGACTTGACAGTTATTTTGATATTAAAATTAAGCATCAAGATACAACAAAGATGAGGCTGAAGTGTTCAACCTGAATGGTAAGATAAACTTCCTTAAAGCTTGTGGTGATCTGCTACATCGAGTTATTGCATGCAATCAGCAATCTAGTACTTTCTGTCTCAGGATATGTTTTAAGAGCAGTAGTAGCACTTTTAGTCCAGATTGATATGGTGAGTACTAATTTATCCCATATTATTGAAGCACAGAGACTATGAACTACACATAATATAAGTTATACAGAAGCTGGGAATCACTGGCAAATGTAATCCATAGTAGTAATTGGTAGGCAAAGATATCTGCAAATGGGCAAGTTATGGCATGTGATTATGATATGTATTGACCTTGTAAGTCAATGTGAGATAATTGAGTAAACAGTGTTTAAGTTAAATTTGTATCTTTAATGAGACCTACTAAAAGCAAGGAATAATCTTTAAGTGGCCAATTTAATGAGAAGAAATAATCTTAAGTTGGCAAAGCCTTTAAAATATTGTTCAGCTGGATAAAATATGTGAAACTGTTTTATACTGAAAAATATTGAATTTAGAAGCATTATTAGAGTATCTCATATTCATAAACTATGTTTTGAATTTCCTGCTTATTTTTAAGTTTCTCACATCTTTTCAGTAGGTGAAATCTGTCATTGTAAAACACACACCAAATAAAACTAGTGTCATTATATAATTATTACACAGGATATATCTAGCAGCTGTGTAGAAGAGGGAGTATTCCTCTTACATAATAAATTATTTCTAGAAAAATTTTATCAAAAGTGTCACTTTACCATTCTATAACAAACTTTATTTTACCTAACAAATTTGGGGTTTATTTGGGGTGTGTGTGTGTGTGTGTGTGTGTTTAATCACAGCAGTACATTTTGCTTTAAAAGCAGAAATAAGAATTTTTGTCTAAACTTGGTACATTGCATTCCTAGAGATACTAAAATTAAGAACTAAGAATATTTTAGGATTTGTAGCACATTTACAAAGGAAAAGTCAACATCTATAATAAAAAGTGATATAAATAAAAATTATTTTTTACTTAATACTGATTTTCACTCTATTGGACCTTTTTCTTTCTTTCTTTTTTTTTTTTTTTTTTTTTGAGACGGAATCTCGCTCTGTCGCCCAGGCTGGAGTGCAGTGGTGCGATCTCGGCTCACTGCAAGCTCCGTCTCCCGGGTTCACGCCATTCTCCTGCCTCAGCCTCCTGAGTAGCTGGGACTACAGGCGCCCGCTACCGCGCCCGGCTAATTTTTTGTATTTTAGTAGAGACGGAGTTTCACCATGGTCTCAATCTCCTGACCTTGTGATCCGCCTGCCTCGGCCTCCCAAAGTGCTGGGATTACAGGCGTGAGCCACCGCACCCGGCCTTTCTTTCTTGTTAATAACTTTTTCTTTTGGTGAGTGTTTAATTGAAGAGCAACTTTAAGAAATGACCAATGGCATTCTATTTTGTGTTTTGGTCAAAGTAAATTAATGGTCATATATTTGAAATGGTTATCTACTTACTCTTGCTGGCTTCTAATGGTACTCTAGGGCATTTATCACAATCCCATAAAAATGTGGATAGCTTTATCTCTTCCAAGAATTTTAGTCATTCTTTTGTCATTTTGAATTTGTTGGTAATCCATGAAGAATATGATTCATTAAGTGTGGAAATCTTTGGTAAATTCATATTCATCACATTTTTATTATTTCTAAGGATTCCAGAAACCAACCAACCTAATTTTTGTTTTTGCTTTGTAATAAATGAAAATCTTTCAAGAGCATATGGCCTTTATCATACATACAAAAAGTAAACAGTTCCCTTTGGATGTGCGCATTCCACAGACATCTAATACTGTTATATTGCATTGTAATAGAAACTAAATGAGCTCTAAAGGAAATAGAGAATATAATTCTTGGCCTCTATGAATAGGGGGGAAAAGACTTCCCTTGATAAAATGCTCAAAAAACTATGCCAAGAAAATGTACTCATGCATGTATGCAATGAATAAATATTAAGTATCAACTATGGGCCCAGCCCTTAGTTTAGGAATTGGGAGATCACCATTGAACAAAACTGAAATCCTGGCCTTTATGGGAGCATGTGCTAATGTGGTTGACAGACAAACTAAAAAACAAGGTAAGTGAAATAGATATCCAATATATTGGATAGTAACAAGTGCCATGGAGAAAAATAAAACAGAGAAAGTGGGGAGAGAGTGTTAGGGCATTGCAGTTTTAAATAACGTTGTCAGCAAAAGCTTAGCAGAGCAGAAGATGCTTGAATGAAAACTTGAAAGTGATGAGGAACTGAGTCATTAAAATATCTGTGGAAAGAGTATTTAGGCAAAGGAATAACACAGAAGTGCGTAGATCAGTGGATGGGGGCATGCCCAGTGTATTTAAAGAGCAGCAAGGAAGCAAAGTGGGGCTAAAGAAGAATAAAGGAGATGAAGGGAGGCTGGTAGAGTAATCCACACAAGAGATTATAGTAGCTCACAGCATTATGGTAGTAATAGAGTAGGTAAGAAATCAGGATTTGTTGACAGTGGGATATAGGCTATTAAAAAGAGGGGAATCAGGATTTTTTTGTTTGTTAAGTGGGAGAATCATATTTTTCCAAGTTTATTAACCCGTGTTTAGTTATTAAAACTTATGTATTGTTTTAAGCCTTTTTTATTGTGGTAAAATATATATATATAAGATTTGCCATTTAGCTATTTTTAAGTATTCAGTTCAGTGGCATTAAATACATTTTGAAATTCAGTTTTGTATGTAAAAATGTTCTCTCAGCCAGGCATGATGGCTCACACCTATAATCCAGCACTTTGGAATGGTAAGGCAGGAGCATCACTTGAACTCAGGAGTTTGAAATCAGCTGGGCAACATAGGGAGACCCTGTCTCTACAAAAACTAAACAGTTAACCTGGCATGGTGGCATGTGCCTGTGATTCTAGCCACTCAGGAAGCTGAGGTGGGAGGATCCCTTATGCCCAGAAGGTTGAGGCTGCAGTGAGCTGTGGTTGTGCCACTGCCCTCCAGCCTGGGCAACAGAGCAAGACCTTGTTTCAAAAACAAAAACAAAGTTCACTTTTCTCAAAATATCAGCATTGTCGCTTATGAACAAAAACAATTTGGAGCCGATTGTGCTTTACTGCCAAGAGCATTGAGCACCAAGCATTCTGCAAGCCTTAGAATCCTTGTTTGAGAGATTGAGACAAGTAGAAAAACCAAAATGAAAATTAGCATCGTATTTCCAAAACAGATCTTCTTCTTTTGAAAACTGACTTTTCATTTAAATATCATTTTTTAACTTTTCATCTAAGTGAGTATAATTTTAAATTGTTTGGGTCACTATTTAAAATAATTTGAACATGTCTTATTTGCCTTTGATTCACTCAGAAAGGAAATGCTCAAATAATGTGTTACATTTCCAGAGCTTAAGGAGCTTTTCAAGAATGAAATAAGTATTCCCTGCTTCATAATTTGTCTACTTTACTTTTAGATTGCTCTTAAAGTCTATTCTTTATTTGTAGTTTGATTTTTTAAATCATATTTTATAATTAATTTTGAATTTGTATAAGTTATGTTTAAGGTGATGTTCATCTTTTGTGAATTATGAGTCTAGGAAATCCCTTCCGTTTGTTGATTTCAGTGTCTCTTTTTCTAGGGAACGAAGAAGGAAGAGATTGAAGGTGAAGCAGAAGTGTCTGGTTTAATTCAGCCTGCAGAAGTGTTTGCTCCCAAAAGCCTGGTGTTGGTATCCAGATTATATTATCCAGAAATTTTTAGGGTAAAGAACACATAGTTATTATTAATTTGTATTATTGTGTGTCTCTTGAGTGAACCATGGTACAAGTTGTTTAGATTGAAAATATTGTTAGATTGATTTAGGAATTCATCTATGAAATACAGTTAGCATGAACAGAAGAAATATTTTCATGTTGGATGAAATAAATACCTGAATAAGTTAATGTGACTACTAAAACTTCTAAGGATAGGTCCCACATTTATTAAATCCAGAATGTATACATCCTAAATAAATAATTTGATTACCTGTAGTAAATGTAAATGCATGAGTGATTTAACAACTTTATGTATGTTTATTCACCTTACGCGGAATCAGGTTTAAGTAAATAGGATGAATGTTTGAGATTTCAAATAATTCTGATCCTACTTCTGTCAAAATACCTTAAAATATTGCTTCCAGTTATTTTCTTGTTTTAGAAACACAGAATTTTCAAATATAAGAGGAAATTTTTATTCATTTGTAAATGTTTGTGCTAACATAAAATTTCTGTAAAACTTTTCCAGAAATTGAGATTATTTATGTTAAGAAAGAATTAATTTAGTGTCAAGATTTCAATGACAATGGGTAACTCCAAGCAAATACTAAGTTTTCAAAGTCACAAATTTCGCTATACTGAAAGAGATTCATAAAGATTGCATTGTGTCTGTTTTACCACCTACCTTCTTCTGAACTCATTGTTAATCTTGCAATCTTGTCTCTGTTTTGCAATCCTTTCTTACAATTCACATGTTACATTTTTCTGTAGAATAAGCATTCCAGATTTGTAAGAACCACCAAACAAGATAAATTTCTAAGTTTCTATCTTGAGATTTGGAGTTTAACAAACTAAATTGAGGCAAAAACAATATTAGCCCTACAGATTTGCTAAAAGTAGTTATCAGAGCACAGACATCTGTTTTACAAATTGTGGATTTCTGCTTTCCATAAACTCATCTCAGAAGCTCATTTGGAGGTTCTGGTTCTAAGGAAAATTTAATAAACTTAATTTTTGCTGTTTAAAATGTATTCCATGTTCACTGTATAATATACTTTACTAGGTTCAAAGAGAAATTGTCCTAGAACAGATGTCATAACAATTTATTTTTAATGCTTTTTCCATGAAATAATTACATGTATCTATCTTTTTGCAGGCTTGCCTGGGTTTGATCTATACCGTGTATGTGGACAGCCTGAATGTCTCCTTGGAAAGTCTAATTGCTAACCTTTGTGCCTGCCTTGTCCCAGCGGCTGGAGGGTCTCAGGTAAATAGAATAGAAAGAGGGGTGGAGAAGGATTGTTTCTCTTCCCCTCTCCTCCAGTTAATTTAATTTATGGTGAAAGAAAGAATTTTTTAAATATTTTTGTTTTAGGGAAGATCCTAGTTTAGTTAAGCGTTGTCCCCATGGTCTGCCTTCTAGACACTCAAGATTCCGTTCTTTTCTTAGGTCATGAGGTTAATTTTAACACAGGGTTCGTCTTTCACATAGCATAATTAGAAGTCATATTTCGTGTAACTTGAACTGCAGTTTGTATTTTCTTGGAAATATATTAAGTTGAACTTTTAAATGTGCTCTTTTACCTTTCTTACTCCTGTATATAGTTACACCTCATTTTTATTAACCTAAATTGAAAAATGTTGGAGTGATAAAAATTAGAAGATAACGCTAAGAAAACTCTCAACACAGTTCTTTGTTACATTGTAACTACTTATTAATAGATTCATGTATTCTGTATGTCTTGAGATTTTCATATTTGTCTCTAAAGTAGAAAAATAATCTCTGCTGCTATGATTTATTTATTGTTTCTTGGTCAACCACACTTTTAATAGAATAGATTTTTTCCTTAAACCCTAAAAATGAATAGTTGATAATTTATTTTGCTTATTCTTATATAATATTGGGGAAGAGGACAGCCTTCTAAAAATCACATTGTCTTCAATCTGACAAAGATCCTGCTTATAGTGAGATTGGCATTTCTTTTTCTTGCCCTTTGCCTTTTTACTTCTCTTCTGTCTTTCTCATTGTCTTTTGTCTTAAATTTTTATCCTTTTTTTTTCTCTCTCTCTCTTGCTCTCTCCTCCTTCATTCTTCTACCTCTGCTCAAAGGGCAGAACATTAAATGTGAGTTTGATCACAGATGATTCTAAACTTGAATTGCTTTATGAGCGTTTATTAATGTTGTTGACTTTAACATTTCATTATTTTTTAGCCAGTTATGATTATCAATGATTTTTGTGTCTTATCTTTACTAGATTTGCAACTTTCAACCACTGAATTTTCTTATGCCACTTAAGTATACAAAGAACTTAAATGTTATGGGGTATCCATTGTTGCCCTTTGTATCTGTTAATTGGATCTTATATGGTTGTTTGCTCTAAAAATGAACATCAAAGATATTTTTATTTTTTAAAAAATGTCTGAAATCGTGTGTGCGTGTGTGTGTGTGTGTGTGTTTGTGTGTGTATGTTTCTCCCATTCTGCAGAAGCTGTTTTCTTTGGGTGCAGGAGATAGACAGCTGATCCAGACTCCTTTACATGATAGCCTTCCTGTCACGGGCACTAGTGTGGCTCTCCTGTTCCAGCAATTGGGTATGTCTTTTCTCCCATTTTCAATGTCGTCTTGTAGAAACCTGTGATTAAAGGATTTATTTTAAGTTGACATCACCTCACATGAATCAAGAAAATATTTTTTAAACCATTATAATATTTTATATATAGGATATATATATATAATTTTGTGGGTCCTGATATTACCTAGTGTTCATTCTTTTTAAAAATTTTAACCCAGACCCCTTTTTTTCTTAGGTCAGTTAGACTTTTAGAAAGTGGATGGGATGAGTGTGGTAGCTCATGCCTGTAATCACAGTACTTTGCAAGGCCGAGGCAGGAGGATTGTTTAAGCCCAGGAATTTGAAACCAACCTGGACAACATAGTGAGATCCCATATCTACAGAAAATTTTTAAAACATTAGCTGGGCATGTTGGTGCACACTGTAATCTCAGCTACTAGGGAGGCTGAGGCAGGTGTATCACTTGAGCCCAAGAATTCAAGACTGCAGTGAGCTGTGATGGTGCCTCTGTACTCTAACATAGAAAGAAGGAAAGTGGACACATTTTCTTTATGCTAAAAGATGAATAGATGATATATTTAGCATTTCCATAGATGAACTGCTTTTATAGAAACCTTGTCAGGTGGGACTATGAGTCTCATTCTTCTCATCCCACCATCTATATGAGGACTTTATCTCCAATTTTTCAGTAATGGCTAGGATGAAAGATTGGGAGGATTCTAGAAAGTGTCTACTGTACATTGGACAGCTTTTACATTATTTAAGAAAAATGTAACAAAAATGAGGATGTTTCAAACTGGGGCTGCCCAAAGATTCCCATTTACGTTACCTCTGACTTGTCCTTTATATATACCTGCCTATGAGTGTCCCACTCTCATTGTTCTCCATCTGTGTTTGTCTTTTCCTAGTTATGCTGAAATCTTCCCTTTCCCTAAGGTCCATACCCTGCCTTTTCATGAAATTCTTATTTTCTTGCACAGAAATTCTGCCCTCTTGCTTTCCTCTTGCCTCTTGTTGAATTTTGCTCTTAGTTTTGCTCTGTAACTTACCTCCCTTTTCATCAGTGTCCCTGTCCATATTCTTCTGCTTTAACTTCAATCAGTGAAAGTTAGAAAGCCTTAGAGGAAATTAGTATCAATATAAATAGAGTCTTCTAATATCTGAATTAAAATGAATGGTGATCTCAATTTCAAAGTAATTCTTTCCAGCTACATTTGCCTCTTCTTAGGCCAACTCTAAAATATTATAATATTTCCCTTTGGTCAAAGAATACAAAATTTCAATTAGGAGAAATATCAAGATATCTACTATGCAACATGGTGACTACAGTTAATAACAATGTATTATATACTTGAACATCATTAAGAGAGTGGATTTTAAGTGTTCTTACCACAAAAAAAAGTATGTGAAGTAATGCATATGTTAATTAGCTCAATTTAGCCTATCTGCAAAGTGTACGTATTTCAAAACATCACATTGTACACTGTAAATATATAGTTTTTTGTCAATTAGTGCAAGTTTTTACTCATTGAGCAATCATAGTTAAGCCTTAAGATATTTAAAGCTGTTTTCTTTAAATTCATTTCATATTAAATATTTAATGCATATCTATTTAATATGAAATCATAATCCCTTCCTGGTGGCGTATCTCCAAAGAACTCTTGTTGATTACATTCTCCCTCCACAAACTTTTGGAAATTAAAAAAAAAATTTTTTTTTGGAGACAGGCTCTTAGTCGTCACCCAGGCTGGAATGCAGTGGCATGAACACAGCTCACTACAGCCTCCAACACCCTGGGCTCAAGCAATCTTCCCTCCTTAGCCTCTTGAGTAGCTGGGATGATAGACATATGCAATCATGCCCAGTTAATTTTTTTAATTTTTTATTTTATAGAGATAGGGTCTTGCTATGTTGCCCAGGCTGTTCTCAAACTCCTGGGCTCAAGCAGTCCTACTGCTTTGCACTCCCAAAGTGCTGGGATTATAGGCATGAGCCACTGCACCCAGCCTGGAAGTAAATTTAGTAGATTCATGGACTACCTGCATGCAGCTTGTCCGTGGTCCCTACTAACCATTGACTTAATTGATTTTAGCCAAGCACCATTCACTTGACGTTTTTACTTTAAAAAAAGGTTGCATACCTCTAAAGGGTCAAAGCAGAGATTTACTATGAACAGGAATAGAAGGATATGACACAAATATTTCACAAATGAAATTATTTCACATTTCCAAATGCTACCATTTTTCATGAACTTAATGAGTACCTTATAAACCTCTACGGTCTTAGTTTTACAATGAATTGTGAGTGGGGAGGAGAGGAGAAGGTTGTAACCAGCATTTAGCATCAAGGACCAGGGATATTAAGCATCCTGCAGTTTGTTTGATGTTTAGGTACCAGAAAAAATTTTACCCCCAATACTTTAAAAGAAAAAAAAACTGTAGATAAAGTATACATTTATAAAACCCAGACCTCTCTGCCAGTAATGGTGGCCTGTGTAATTCAGAATAATCCTCTTAACAATGTCAACTTGAAAAGATACACAAATATAAACAACATCTGCTAAACCAGGCACAGTGGCTCATGCCTGTAATCCCAGCACTTTGGGAGGCCAAGGCAGGTGGATCACTTGAGGGCAGGTGTTTGAGACCAGCCTGGCCAACGTGCTGACACCCCGTCTCTACTAAAAATAGAAAAAATTAGCGGAGCATGGTGGTAGGCGCCTATAGTTCCAGCTACTCAGGAGGCTGAGGCATGAGAATCGCTTGAACCCAGGAGGAGGAGGTTGCAGTGAGCCAAGATCATACCACTTCACTCCAGCCTGGGTGACAGAGTGAAACCCTGTCTCAAAATAAACAAATAAAAATAAGATCTGCTTGAAGGCATCAGACCCAGTAAATAATTGCCAAACCACAATCCAAGAGAAAATGAAGTGAGCCAAACATTTGGGACCATTTTTTCCTAAGGGCACATGTTGATTTTTGAAGAAATGGCTGAGAAGCTGATCAGTACTATTGATATCTTACGGGGAAGAGGGAAAATTGGAATTCAAGTTTTACCAAGGTGGATTTTTTTAATGAAGCTGTCATAATTTGAGTTGAGACCATAAAAGGCCACAGCCTAGGACTGGGTAAATCAGAAGTAGATTGGCTCCCTTGGGAACTACATTACAGCCTGAAATAATTTCAGTTTCTTGAGTTGGATTAAGGTAATCCTTGATGCTACTGTCTATCCATCTCATAGAAGTATGTCCTCTCTGAAACAAGATAACTACATTCTAGACCTCCAATTTGTCTTTAAATTTTTATATACCTGCCCTGTACTCAATCAAAAATAACCAGAAACGTGAGAATCAAAACTATATGAAAGAAATGTAAAAGAAACCATAGACAATGTGAAAGAACCACAGGGACTTTAGCAAATAGAGTTATCAGATGCAGTTATTAAAATAACTATATTTAAAATAGTGAAGGAAATAGTCAAGACTGAGAATTTGGGAGTGACATTAACCAGATAAAGGAATAGGAAATTCCAGTCCTCCCTCCCTGACAGAAACACTGATTTAACAAAGATTCACTGACAAAAATCCCTGCATGACAATTCCAGATTCTAGTTAAGAAATTACAGTACCTCAGACTTGCACAAAGCAGAGAATAGCAGCATTGAAATGTGTAAATAGAGCAATTTTATGTTACCTGTATCAGCCCCTTCCTCAACTCTCTAAGGCTTGGGGGTACAGGGAGGAGGGAAGAGTGGAGCTTGCATCCCAAATTCTGGCTGTTGAGCAAGCTGCCTAAGGGATTTGTTTCTGTGTTGCCTCATTGGAAGTACAAGCAGGAGCTGACATAGTTTGGATGTCTGGGGTGGCTGAGAACAAAGAACAAAGAAGGGGCTTGGGGAGACACTTGCTGTGACCTACACAGCTTGGTGTGATTGGAAGAAGGCATACAACTTGAGGCTTATCCCTTGGTGAGAAGGGGGAGGAACGTTTTGTGTTGAGACTTCAGAGTGCTTCCCTGAGTACTGGTGAAGATGTGAATGAATTAGACCTCTTATTCATGGATAATAGGAATATAAAATGGTACCACTATCTTGGAACACAGTTTGACTTTTTTTTTTAAGTTTAAAAATGTTCATGAAAATATTTGTATGTGAATATTCATAGCCATTTTATTTATGGTAGTGAAAAACTGGAGACAAACTCAATGTCCACCAGTGGTAACGGATAATTGATTATGGAAATGGATAAAACATCTGTGGTATATTCATATGATGCAATACTACTAAGCTATATGAAAAATGAATGACTGATACACGCAACATAGATTAACCTGAAAATAATTATTTTGAATGAAAAATGTCAGAAAAATTATATATCGTATGATTCGGTTTCTCTAAAGTTCTAAAAAATGTAGTCTAATCTATGGTGATGGAAACCATAGATTTCCATGTCACTGGTTGTTTTGTGGATAGGAAGAGCAAGATTACAAAGGGACATGAGGAAATTTTCTGGGTGATATTTGTGTATACAGTCTTGATTGTGGTGATGGTTTTATAAGTATGTACATATGTCAAAACGTATCAGATTCTTAAGAAAAAGAAAAACATATATTCCCACCAAAACTTTTACATGAATGTTCATAGCAGCCTTATTTATAAGAGTCAAAAAGTGGAAGCAATCCAAATGTCTTTCAGCTGATGAATGGATAAACAAATTGTGATATATCTGCACAATGGAAAATTATTCAGCCACAAAATGGAATGAAGTATTGATATGTGCTGCAACCTGGGTGAATCTTGAAAACATGCTAAGTAAAAGAAACTAGGCACAAAAACCATATATTCTGTGATTCTGTTTATGTGGAATGTCCAGAATTAGGCAAACACATAGAGGCAAAGCAGATTAGTGATTATGAGGGGCTTGAGGGATGGGGCCATGAGAAATAACTGCCAATGGGTGTGGGGTTTCTTTTGAGGAATGAAATTCTTCTACAATAGGATACTAATGGTGCTTGTGCAGCC